ATACGATTTTAAATGTACCGTAAGGTATTTTTCATTCTTTTAAGCGTAACATTTTTCTTAAAATCTATATTTTTGTAGTTCAACAGCTTAGAATTTTATAAAACAAATTCATAATCAAAATCGCTGTTGTTAGTTATCGAAAAATAACCAAGATGTGATTTGTGCGTAAATGTCACTATACAAATTGCTATTATCCATCACACTATGAATGTTTCTTTCATGCGAAAGTGTCTCTTTTTCGATTTGTATGGAACAGTCGTGTGTCGAAATACTATCAGAATCCTGTCAAGCGAGCTTCTGAATGTAAACAAAGAACACCCCATCTGGTGACCCAAGCTTCAAGGCAGTGCTTCATTTCTAGTGTCGATTGGCCCCTCCTTCCTTTCCTACCTCCATGTGTCAAATAGGGGGGGGGATAAAGTATTAAAGAAAAAAGTATTTTTTTATGAATGCGAATTCGCTTATCTAAAAGCGAAACTTAACTGATTTTGATTGATTTTTAAGAATGTCAAGCAAATTTTAGTCCAGTCTGTTTTATTTATTGCTTTTTCCCCGTTTCTTCGATTCATCGGATAGAAATAATAGCATTCAAAAATAAAGAATAATTGTATTTTACTGAAGGATAACCATAGTAACGGCATTGGCCACTACTAAGGCCAGAAGTGGTGGCCATTTTATTGTGGAGGCACCTAACAAGCAGCCACCGGTATCTCCTATGAAGGGACAGACAATTTTAGGGGATTCGAACCCGGGCCCTTCGGAATCGCAATCAGGCTCTCTTGACCACTATACCGTCTGGGTGGCATTGATCTGCCAATTTGTTTTATCTCAGTAGATATCTATAGTACAGCGCGTCCGTAAAGTCATGGTGCACTTTTGATTGGTCACAGGAAAAGCAATAAAACAAGATAGCAATATGAAATCTTCACCAAACAAAAGAAAACCTCTTGAAGTTTCGTACCAATTCAGTGCAGTTTAACTCTTCCATATAGTCACTAGACTCGTCAATGACCGATGGCCTGACAAAACGGGATTTGTCCGACAAACTGCCAGTATCCTTCAACTGCTTATCCCATCGATTAATGCTATTCCTATGTGGTGGCGGTTCGTTGTACACGCGGCGATATTCACGTTGTACTTTGGTCACTGATTCGAGTTTGTCAAGCAACAGAACACACTGAACTGTCCTCTTTACATCCATATCTCGCATGGCGTGCGCGTGGACAGACAGATGATCTGCTTCACAATTCGCGGTGTTTCGTCATCACCTGTGTGCGCACATGCTTGCACATCATACTACGGAAACTTGGAGAGTTTTCCTTTTGTTTGGTGAAGATTTCACATTTCTATCTTGCTTTGTTACTTTCCTGTGACCGATCAAAAGTGCACCATGACTTTACAGACGCACCATATATGACCCCACCTACAACAGAGCCTTAAAATCGCCTAACAATGGTAGTTCCGACTTCGGTTGAAATCCAGGAGAACGGGCTAGCTGCATGGGCATCTTCGTGGTTTTCCTCATGTGTAAACGTGTATACGAGCTAGTTTCTCATAGAAAGTCCTCCGCGAAGGCATCCCTTCCCTTAGATAGATAACCCTAGTGTGCTTTGCCATAATAAACTAAACCAAACGAAGCCAAAACCATCTATATTTCTTATCCTCCTGTAGTATCTAGTAGAATCTATCCTTCGGTAACTGTGTACTTTGTACATGCTATCTGTAAACTAAATAGAGGATTAAAAAAAAAGGATGACTAGTAATTGTTCTGAACTTGAAACATGGTTATTTTTTTATCAATTTATTAAGTAAAAAGATGTTTCCTTTATAAATAAATTTCACGCATTTCTGTACAGCCTTGGATACAAATGGTTTCACATATTAAACGAGTTTTCAAATTAAACGTCAAGAAACACATAAAAGTAATTTTTATGAGCATTGCATTAAAGTTTTTTTTGGGGGGGGACTACGATAACTTTGGGGGGGGACTACGATAAGCTCAGCAGCTGTAAATAATGTTTACTTTCGTTTGGAATAAAAATAAAATTTCACGAATTTCAATTTCCTTTTCTAAACGTGAATTTAGGTTAAGTTTATGAAGCGTAAAAACAGCGTGCAAAATTTGTAGCTGGTTAATAACGCAGATAATTTACAACTGTGAATAAAATATTTGCAACTTATTTTTATTATTCTGATTCTCCCGAACTTATTTTGATGTTTCTGTCAGATCAACTGCACCACTTTTCGTAATAAAACCAAAACATGAACAGTAAATGTAATCTTAGAATATACCGTTCTTTGACAAATTCAGGATTAAAGCGGCAGTACTAAATATTTTGAATATTTATTCAACAATTTCTCTCAAAAATATCTGGCATAAAAGCAGACTTATATTTGCGCAGGATTCTGCGTAGTGTAATACATACATTTTGCACGAAAATTGGGAGGGGGGCCAGTTCTATATCTCCCATTCTACTGAGAAGATTGATGAAATTTAACTTTCATTTTCCTAGTCTCGAGATTTAGAAAGTCCTCCACGAAGGCATCCCTCCCTTAAGGTAGATAGCCCTCGAGTGCTTTGCCGTAATCTAATAAAACCAAAACAAAAAACCTTGTCTCGAAAGCGTGATGTGGATTGTGTATTAGATTTATACATTAGCTTTGATCAATCATAGGTATTTTGACACAAAATCGGACTTTTTTTGAAATGGCATATCGATATTTTTCCATATTTCGATTCTACAAATTATGCCAAAGTGCCAAATTTTGTAAAATTCCCACGAGAACTTTTTCAAAAATTAACTCTCAGTATTAAATGAATTTGGTACATATTTATTAATATCTTTTTACTTCCTTGTACGAAGTAAAAAGGAAGTATTGTAATCGCGAAAAGTTTCAGGCAGCATATTTCAAGGAAAATATCCATTTTGACCGCTATCGAATGCAATTTAACGATGTTTTTGCGTGATATCTGTACGTAAGGACAGAATAAAAGATTCGTTTCCTCCAAAAAAATTATAAAACTGCTTTAAATTTAATTCTGAAGAGAATGTTTCGTGGCGTCTGTACGAACGTAGGTACGTACGTACGTACGTATGTCGCATAACTCGAAAACGAGTAGCCTCAGAACGTTGAAATTTTGCATATAGGACTGCTATAACATGTAGATGTGCACCTCGTATTTTGGATGCAATCGGCCGCACCAAACGTATATAAATACTATATTTTTTATATATATCCACTCTGTTATTCGGCACAGTGATCTCAGTTTCTTTACTCTTATATGTTTGTAAATTGTACATTTTTTGCTTCAAAAATGATTGAATTATGTTGTTCTTATCTTCCGGTTAAGGTTTTTATGCCTTTCGTAATTTGGAAGCAATATTTGTACAATTATGAACAATTTAAAAGCTGTTTAAGTGCGATTAAGTTTTAAATAACATCGCGGACATATTTGTTTACATTTGAAACAGCAGAATTGTAGATTTGTTGCCAATCTAGAGAGACTAAGCTTCGCAACAACAAAAATAACGCCTTCATTTATTATTGCGAATTAAATCATGCTTAATCCTTTCTGGAATTTTTTCGAGGAAATAAGTGTTTAAGATTTACTTCGTCATTTTTAATACAGATATTTTGAGTTTTTATGTAATTTTGCCTTGTCGCGAAGTGAGAACTGAATTAATTGAATGAGAAATACTCAATCGTCTGTGAAAAACTGTTTCTTTTCTGTTTTGTTTGCTGAATTTCTCTCATACATCGTTCTAGCTTTATTATAGTATTTGAATAGAACATGTGGCAACGATAAGATAATTCTTCAAATGATATAAATTTTGTGCATTCGTTATAGTAAACAAATATAGTGAATTTTAAAGAGTGCGTTTATTCTATTGTGGTTTATGCGCTGTCGACGAAGTAGATTTTATTCAATCCAATCAATTTAAATGAAATTCAAAAAATGCATATAATTTAATATTCCGTACAAGGCGGTCATGTGGTGTACACATCAGATTTTTTTGTTAAACTTACGTGATTCCTTCTTTAACACTTCGAAATTGAGGTTCAATCCAAATAAAATTTACAGATATTTTCTGATTTACTTTTGAAATTTGTGTGTTGTAGTAATTTTTATATGTTTTTCGAAAACATTGAATTATAAATTTTTACCCTCACCTTAAAGTAGATGGATTTTTAAGCGTACCTACAAAAATTTATATTTATTCCCAAGATATACGTGAATTTCTACATTGGTGCGTTTTGAAATTTGGCATATTTGTTATAAGCGATAATAACGCTAAATGTGGTTTACAGTCTTTGTTAAAATTATTTGAAAGAATGGACAATTCACCTTTTTTTCCGTCGTGCGCAATGAAAGGGAAAGAGAAATGGGTCACAATAAATTAATTTCGCCAGTATTTGCTGGAAAATATTCTATAACTAGTACCTCTCACAGTACAGGTCGCGATCTACAATGGGTCGGAAGACTTGCTAATTGGTAGTGCAAGATTTTGAAGCATTTTTTTGATTACTGCGTAGTTATATATATATATATATAGCGGCTCGTAATTTCGTATTTATTATATTTACTAATTAACCGTTGATAATTATATACGCTTATTACTATTACTTCCTTTATTTTTTTTCAGGAGTCTTCTACTTTCTTACAGAGTAACTTTATCAGTGTGCACTTATCGCGATCCATGAGTGGCAATAACCGTAACTATGTATATGCATGCTTGTTACGAGATTAAAAGATTTCTGAAATTCTGCTTTACAATTATACTGAAGTGCTCTTCATAGTTTTAATCGAAGATTTCGATATTTCTTCACAAAATTTTGATTTATTTTAATTGTTTTTATTATGTTGTTATTTTATAAACATTATATTTTAATTTAATTTTGTTTGTTTATTTTTATAATATATTTTTATTCTTTCTTTTTTTTTTTTTCATTTATTTTTATTTATTTTCACTTAAGATATGTCTATTAATCTACAGATGGACACTTTAAATGGCGCAGCTGTGCTAACGATTGAAAATGAAGCAGTCTACACAATCGTCAGCCCGAATGCACAGGTATTTTTGAAGCCAATATTTATTTAATCACTATTATGCACTACCGCAACATGGCACAACTTATATTATATATATATTTCTAGCCGATAAGATTAGAAAACTTCTGTACGAACTCCGTTGGTTTGCCATGCAATATCTCAGCAGGCCGCATCAGATGGTAAAGTGGTTAGGGGAGTAAACCGCTGAGTGGGCTTCCGACCCAGGTATAGATATATCCATGCAGAATTGGTTACCAACTCAGCGGGAGTCAATCACTAGCTGCCAGGCCGCAGCCCTGAGCAGCCCCGGCTGGAGCCTTCTGCGGTACCAAAGGGCTAGTGTTCGAATCCTGAAGAAGGCATGGGTGTTAATAAATGTATAGTGTCTTTGAGAAATGTGGGCTCTCTAAATATAGGACGGACCGAGCGTCCCTCAAAAGCATATAATGCCAAACAAGGTTAGCTGTATAATGTTGCTAAGAAATTCAAAGGAATAATATTTGCTGATTGTAGACAGGTGGTACCTGAACACGTCTACAGGGTTCAGTACACTGTCCACAGACAGTGTACTGAACTCATATTTTTTTCACTGCCCACAGATAGGTGACAGGTGATACCAGGGTCCGGACACCCGGGCAGCTTTCACTGACTATTCGGGTATCGTCCGGATTCTGCATCTGTCCAGAAAAACAACTTTGCCAAACAGGGGCAGATGGTAGGAGACAGACGTATTGTGGATGCTTACGATACCAATGCTTATTATACAATATATGACAATATAGAGATACTTTCATCAAAAAGTGATAATACGTTACACTACGTTGATTTCTATGTTACTGCCCTGTAGACAGGTGACAGGTGACAGCAGGGCCGGACACCCGGACGACTTTCTAAGATTACTCGGGTGCATTGTTACAAATGGAAATAATACTATGCTTTAAAGTGAGAAAAAGCTTTCACGTGTACAGGCCGTAGCTAGAAGACTTTGTGGGCATGACTAGCGCACAAGAATGTCAGCAGACTCCAAGGCAAACATACTATTATTCTGGACGGCAAAGGTCCTGCCCCAGCGCCTCTAGTTTCGTCATGATACTATGCCCTGTACAGGTAGAAGCTAGGCCAGCACCTACGTACTACCACAGGTAATTGTAAAATATGTCAACAGCATACGGTGTTCCCAGGTGGTCACACTCCCAAGTACTGACCGCGCCCGATGCTGCTTGACTTCGACCCAAGGCGTTTGTCTTCCGGAGTACCTTTGCAACTTAATGCAATTACCTCCACAACTTCGATAAGGAAACTGAAGTAATTAAGAAAGAGCATAGGCTAAAGGAAAAATGAACGAAACCGCTAAGGGTTTACTGCGAAAGAAATGAATAAGAAGTCCGCGTAAGGGACGAGTAATTCTTTCTGCTTTCAACTTGTTATCCAAGATTGAAAGAGAGAGAGGTGATGATTAAGGCGAATTCCTGAACGCATTGCGTTAATGGAATCGGAAAGGTTGGAAGAAAACAGCTGGGAAACATATTGTTCCAAGGCTTGGGAAAGGTAAAATTAGGTAATACGGACAGCCGCAGTGATTGCTAATGCCTTGGGGATGAGCGGGGGGGGGGGGAGAGTCTTGCGACTAAAACAAGTATCCAGGGATGGAAGAGCGAAGAGAAGGGGGGGAGATAGTCTATTGCTTGACTTCGGTGATCGGACGAGAACCGGTACTTTCAGCATGGTATGGCCGTTGACTGCCCTGTAGACATCAGGACCTTAAAAACCAGCTTCTTCAAACTGGTCAGCATGTGCTACTAACATTAGTAGTAACGGATACTTAGAAAATAAAATTGCCTCATTCTGTGCACTGACTACTCCTTCGCTGGTGTGATGATTACACGGGAACAGGCACCTAGGCTGTATAAGGCTCATCCTGGGAGAAGCATGTTGATGGTGAACATATCTTTTTGTAGTAGCATAGTAAAACTGCCGATGCGGAAAGAACAAATTTTCCTTTTAAAAGAGTTCGTAGTGATGTAGAACAGCGAAGGTAGTAACTGATTATTGTAGGGTGAGTTGGATGTGATAACAATTAGTGTCAAAATATGCCATAAAAGTTGAAGAAAAGTCGACTATGACCGACTACCAGATGCAGCCTGCCCCAAACTTAAAAGTTTGTACCTGGCTTGACGTTGTCAACAACTTATGTTTCCCACAGTCAACAAGAATACAGCGACACACTCCCTCTCATTGTTCAACGTTGTTATGCATTCAGCTTTGCACATAACTCTGCATATACTGATGTGTATATTTTCAATTTGATTATTTGTTCACCAACTGTCCATATGTTTAGAGGGCATGCCCTCCTACATTAGCTTACGCACTAACTGCAGTTTAACTTTGTTCATACAAGGTCGTTACAATTTTGTCTTTCGCTGATTACATGTGCTCAAATCTTCTGTAAATCAAATTGTCCCGTCATCATTAACTATCTTCCAAGCTGTAGGGGGTGAGTTCAATAGAACTCATTGTCACAGTCCTCGTGTCTTCCTACGAGTTGGCTTTCGGACGGAGACAACTCAATTGGTGGCTAGTAAATATCATTCCTCTTAAGATAACCATCTCCGTTGGAGATACAATCCTCTGGGACATCTGATGGTCATTTTGGAGAGGTTTTGTTAGATTTTGTAATCACAAATAAGATTTTAAAGGGATATATTTTCATCTATACGTTTCCTTACATCTAGAGTTGAAGTTTTTTAACCATAACGTATATAAAATTTACAGTAAATTTTGAATATATATAAAATTTACAGTAAATTATTAAACAGTAAATTACAGTAATTTACAGTAAAAAAGAACCATATATATATAAAATTTAAAGTAAATTTTAGTTTTTTTTTTCTGAAAAGAGTAATGAAGTTTTAAAAGTTATGTAAAATCTAACATTAGATTAAATCAATCATAATCGTATAATATTACATTTGGAGGGGCAAATGCAGTTTTTGAGGATATTCTGTTGTGTTTTTATTCCATTTATTTCTACGAGTATTATAATAACGAAATTCTTTTCACACGATTGTTTTGTTCTATAAGATTTCTGCTTCAAGTTAGCCCTTTTTTCTTCGAACCTTTTCGAAAATTTTCGAATAATCATATCAATGCAGTGAATATTAAAATCAGACAAACCAAACTATAAGATATTTTTTGCTCATTTACTAGCAAAATTTCATCCCACTCTCGAAGGTCATTAAACTCTAAGTATAAAATCCCTCCAACGCCCGAGCGGTTGGAGTCGCCGAACACTGCTAGTTCGGACAGGGCTCGATTCCAGGCGAATGGGCTGGTTGCTTGGGCATTCTCGCAGTTTTCCCCGTGTGTAACAGGAACCAGTTTGCCTTAGAAATTCCTCCACGAAGACGTCCCTCTCCTTAAACTGATAGCCCTGGATCGCTTCGCCATAATTATATAAACAAAGTATAAAAACTAGTATTTTTTTAAATGGTTTCCCTAGCACCAAATAGTATACAGGTATTAATTAATAAGTAAAATGGGACAAACCTAACTGTGAAATATTTTTCGCTCATTTACCAGCAATCTTTCATCACACTCTTGAAAGTCATTAAACTCCAAGCATAAGATCCCATTAACATCCGAGCGGTTAAGTCGCTGAGCACTGGTAGTTCGAAAAGAGCTCTCATATAAAACAAGTATAAAAATTCTATTCAGTTTTCAGGCCCACCAACGACCGAGCGGTAAAGTCGCTGAACACTGTTAGTTCGGTCCGAGGTTCGAATCCCGCGAACGGGCTGGCTGCATGGGCGTTTTCGTGGTTTTCCCCGTGTGTAACGTGTATGCGAGCGAGTTTCCCTTAGAAAATCATCCACGAAGGCATTCCTCCCGTTAGGCAGATAACCCTTGAGGCTTTTCCATAATTACACACACACGTTTAAGACATAATAAAAACATACTTTAAAGTAGGTGGCCCGCTGAAGATATTTTGGTGGCCCCACATTTGAATTTGAAGAATTTCAAGAAAAATTGCTTTGTCAGCTTTTTGTCGTAAAAAAAAGCTTTTTTTCTCTTATTCATATTTAAAACATTTTATTGACATGCCTGATATTTGAGATAACATTTACTGAAAATGACGAATTTTTCAAAAATTTCACTTTTTCTGATGTAATTTATCGGCTAATCTTTGGAATATGGTAACAGGTAGTTTGGTGACATTTTGGTAAGGCGATAAAGGTTACTAGCTAGGACTTTAGCAGTGTACATGGATAAAGTCAAGAGTGTGCGCAATGTCATTTTTGTGCAATTCTGGGATTTTTTTAAGTGAAAATAGGTTGACGTGTACATGGATGATACCGTGTATGTGCAATTCTTAAAAACGCGGCAAGCAGTCTGCAATTCTGCACTTTCTCCCAATTTCGCACCTAATCTTTGTCATGATTAAGCACTTTTGTTCCATAAAAGTTCTAGCATAAGCGTAACTCGGCTAGCAGATTGTTGGAAAAAAATGTTGAGTTAAAAAAAAAAAAAAAAAAAAAACAAAAAAAACTTTACTTCGTGAAAACAAAATGGCGTCCAAACAAAAACTATTAGGTTGCTGTAGTAGAGTTGGTCGCCAAAAAATCGCCAATTTACCATAATCCAAAGATTAACCAATTTATCTTATGTAATATTGTTCCAACTCAACTGCAGTTAGAATTTATAGATTTACAGTGTGACTCTGCAGTAAACTGCAAGTTTCTTGAAAATCCTACATTAATTGATTTTTATTCGAAGTATGTGACCGAAGACAAGTATCCAGGAATTCGTAAACATGCACTCTTCATGCCTTCTATCTTTGGCAGTACCTACATATATGAACAGCTTTTTTGTAAAATAAAAATCCTTAAATCAAAACCACGGCTGACAGACAAACATTTGGAGGAAACTACAAATTGCAGCAACACAGATTTAACCGGCTATTGAAGCTTTAATGAAGCAAAAACAATGTCAAATTTCACATTAAAACTAAAGTAACTACCATCT